CGCGACCCAGGCACCGACCCTCCCCGCCGTCCTCTGCTCGCTGCGCGTAGGGTGCCACATTCGGTGCCTGCACGACGTCGGCTTCCTGAGTGAACTGCCCAGCCGGTGGCTGTTTTGCGATGCCCGCCTTTTTACGGGGCTCAGGCGAATGCTTCGGCGCCCCAGCTGCAGTATCGGTATGTTCTCCCCCTTCTCTTCATCGTCATCGTCTTCACCCTTTTCTGTTCCTTTTTCCTAAAGAGCCCACCACCTCCACCCCTCGTCGTAGTCGTCGTAGTCGTTCTCTCCTGATCCACCGCCTCCTCATCGTCGTCGTTCTCAACCTCTTCATCTTTCTCCGTTTTCCTCCCCGGTCGTCCTCCTCTGTTCCCCCCTCTCCTTCCCCCTCTGGTCCTCCATTCCTCCTCGTCCTCGGCCTCCGCTTCCGCGCCCTACTCCAGTCCCTGGTCCTCCTGCCCCCCTTTCCTCCTTATGCCTTCCGTCCTCTCCGCGATGAAGCCGCGCGGGGGCTTTGCCCGACGGGCGCGCCCGTCCCGCCGAAGGTTTTCGGAGCCTCGGATCTCTGGAGGCAGTTTCTCTTCAGATTCTGGCAAGCTTACTTGCATGACGGAGGCAGGGGGGAGGTGGCGAGGCCCGAAAGGCAATCTGGACTTCACGCAAGCCGGGCCTCACTTGCACGCCGTTTCAGTCCAGCGCTGTTTGTGACGGAGGCGGAGGGGGGGGATGCCATGCAAGTAGTCAGATTTGCCAGAATCCGAATACAGTCGAGCAGTTCCTCGGGCACGGTCGCCTCCTCCATGGTTAACAGCAGAGGTTGGCCCAGGCTCGTTGAAAGAGGCTTCTGGAAGCCAGCCCAGATCTCTTGAATGATCCCTTTCTTGCCCCTCATGTTCAAACATAGTCCAAAAGTAGTATTTGGACGATTTCGCCCGTATTTGTGCGCATTTTCGTTTTGATTTTTCCCTCAAAATCCGCCTGTAGCAGGACGTGCCCGACCTAATCCTATTTCCGGCCGTGGGACGCACGCTCGCCGGGGTCAGAACTCCGCGCCCGGGCGGCACACGGCGGGGGGGCTCCTCGGGGGCTGGAGGCGCCGAGGGGGGCCTCTCCCTCCCCCCCGCCCCGTGCCCGTTCCCCCTCCTGGGCATAGAGGGCGGCGGAAGAGGGGTGGGTGGGAGCGGATAGTGAGAGCGCGAGGGAGGGGGAACGAGGGGGGAGGGAGAGGGCGAGGGAGGGGGAGTGAGGGAGGGGGAGGGGGCAAGCTAGGTGCGCTCGCGTCATATCTGACGTCCTACCCCTCCCTCCCATCCCTTACCATGGCGCTGATTTTCTCTATCCGCGGACGCGTGTCGTAGCGGACCTGTGGCTCCGCGCGCGCGTGCGTAGTGGGTGGTGGTGCGCGTGCGTGCGTGCGTGCGTGTGTGCGTGGTTGTGGTGGTGGTGGTGGTGGTGGTGGTGGTGGTGGTGGTGGTGGTGGTGGTGGTGGTGGTGGTGGTGGTGGTGGTGCTGCTTGGTGGGTGGTGGTGGTGGTGGTGGGTGGTGGGTGGTGGTGGTGCGGCGCGGTGGTGGCGGGCGGATGGGCGCGCGAGAAAGAGGCCCGCGCTGGGGCGAGAACGCCATCCTGAACGACGGAGGCCAAACACCGATCCGAAAATGAGGCCCACGCTGCAGCGGGAGCACGATTCGGAACGATTCGGGAGCAGAAATGAGGCCGGCGCCTCAGCGAGAGCAGCATTTTGAAAAAAACGCAGGCGAAAACCCAACTCCCGGGAATCCTGTGTGTAAAAAACAGTACGCGGGGGGGGGTCGGCTACTTTCAGGCCGCCATCGGGGGAAGAGGGAGAGTAGTATTCATATTGAGTAATTGTAGAGGAGGAGGAGGAGGAGGAGGAGGAGGGAGAGGGAGGGGAGGGCGAGGGAGGGGGAGGGAGGGGGGAGGGAGGGGGAGGGAGGGGAGGGAGAGGGAGAGGGCGAGGGAGGGAGGGGAGGGAGAGGGCGAGGGCGAGGGTGAGGGAGAGGGGGAGGGGTCGGGGGAGGGAGAGGGCGAGGGAGGGCAGGGAGAGGGCGAGGGCGAGGGCGAGGGAAGGGGAGGGGGAGGGGGAGGGAGAGGGCGAGGGCGAGGGCGAGGGAGAGGGGGCGGGGGAGCGCCGGGGCCGCCACGACGCGAGCCCGCCGCACCCAGGGGGGGGGGTGCTCCCCGGGCTGCTCTGGGGCCGCTGTGGGTTAGCTGAGGGGCGGCCTCACGAGAGCGCCTGCAGGGCCTCGTCCCAGTCTTACGTCGGACACGTCCCTCTGCAGGAGGGATCTTCGCGACGTGTCATAAGATAGTATGGGGATTCGTTTTTCCGTATGTTCGAGACTTTGTTGTGTTTGTTGTTGTTGTTGTTGTTGTTGTTGTTGTTGTTGTTGTTGTTGTTGTTGGTGGTGGTGGTGGTGGTGGTGTTGTTGGTGTTGGTGTTGATGTTGGTGTTGTTGTTGTTGTTGTTGTTGCTGCTGTTGTTGTTGTTGTTGTTGTTGTTGTTGTGGTTGTTTGTTGTTGGTTGTTGTTGTTGGTTGTGGTTGTGGTTGTGGTTGTGGTTGTGGTTGTTGTTGTTGTTGTTGTTGAACATTATTACTTCTAAAGAATAATTATTGTTGGGACCCCTGGTGCACGACCCCCCTCCAAAACCTAGGCCGCAGCTACATTTTCATCATTTTTTCGCGAAAGCTTCAGAAAAGTGGATTGGTACCGGATCCGGTTGTTTTGTTGTAATCCGTTTTCCCTTGCAAAAAACACTATAAAATGAAAATTCTTGTTCTTACTTGATCAAATTGCAAGAATCCCTTGCAAAAAATAAGGTAAAGTGGACATTCGTGCGCGCAAGACGAAATCCTTCCAAAACCTTAGGTTTCGTAACGATTTTAACATAAAAACATCAAAAACCCAATGGTTTTTTAAGAAAAAATTGTCAAAATGTCCTTCCGCGCGCGCTGTCCGAATCCTACAAAACCAATGGTTTTTCAACATTTATGTTACATGAGCTCGCGCGAGCTACTTTTTCTTGTTCTAACATAATCAAATTTCAATAATCCCTTGCAAAAAATAAGGTAAAGTGGACATTCGCGCGCGCAAGACGAAATCCTTCCAGAACCTTAGGTTTCGTAACGATTTCAACATAAAAACATCAAAAAGCCAATGGTTTTTCAAAAAAAAATGTCCAAATTTCATCCCGCGCGCGCTGTCCGACTCCCACAAAACCAATGGTTTTTCAACATTTATGTTACATAAGCTCGCGCGAGCTACTTTTTCTTGTTCTTACATAATCAAATTTCAACATCCCTTGCAAAAAAAAGTAAAGTGGACATTCGCGCGCGCAAGACCAACAAAAAACACGACGATCTCAGGAACTTGCCCCAAAAATGTGACCAACTCCGCTCTCTCTGTCTCTCTCTCTGTCTGCTCTCTGTCTCTCTCTCTGTCTGTCTGTGTCATGTATTGTATGTCACAATTGCAGGATGCTGGGCACACGCGCGCCCCGAATAAGTGACCAAGTTCTGTGGGTGTGTACCCCACGCCAGTGTAGTAGCCACGGTCGTCCGCACGCCACGAAGTGAAGTGTCCCAACGTCATAGGGCGGGAAGCTGGGTTTGGGTGGTCGCGAAGAGTCGTTTGGATATTTGGTAGAGCTTGAACTGCCCCCCCACGAAGTGGGGGTATTGTCTCGCGTCGCATGAAAACCCTGGCACTGGTGAGAACACTGAGCGTTCGGGTAAAATGATTGTTGTTGTTGTTGTTGTTGTTGCTATTCCTGTTTTTCTCCAAACTCCGCCTGCAGGGGGACATGCCCGACCTAATCCCAGTCCCAGGGCGGCGACCGGCTGGCCGGGGGGAACCAGGGGGACAAACAGTGGCACAAACATAACAGCTCGGAGGTCCGCGCGGATCTCTCGGATCGGCGATGGGCCCCCTTGGCGGCGCCTCCGACGCCGACCCTGGCGCGCTCCGCGCGCCGGGGAGGGGGGGTCCAGCGCCGATCCGCGAAATCCGCGCGGACCTCCGAGTCTTTATGTTTGTGCCACTGTTTGTTCCCGTAGGGGAGTCTGCTGTGCAGCAGTGACCAATCAGCAGGAAAACGCACACACACACACACACAGACAAAGAAACGTCGATTCCCAGGAAAGATGGGAAGTGGAGGGGACGACGGAGCTCAAGAGCAAGTGGCTAAATACGGGGAATCCTGGGATTTGTGTCTATTTAGTTGTGTGTCCCTGGGCGCCTGCAGCGAAGAGGCCTGGCCTGGCCGATGGGCCACCCAAGAATGTTCGGGCGACAAATACTGTCGGCGTTTGCGTGCCAGGGCAGTTTCTTTTGCGGGATTGTGCGCCCTGGCGCGGACGGCCGAACGACCCCCGCAGCGGGACACCCTGGCCACGCGGTCGCCGCCGCAAAAACTGCCCGTTTGCTGTTTCAGTATTTTGCTGATCAGCGCGGGCCCTCGCCCCCCCCCCTCGCCCTCCCCCTATGGAGTACATCTTGGCTGCTCTTGGCGCCTGCTTCAAGCAGGTGGAGTCTCCCCATAGGACGCACTGCTGCAAACAGTCGCACTTAGTAGAGGTCCGAAGCCAGACCCCCCCTCCTGCTCCCTTCCGCCCAATGTCGAAACGCCGAATGAGAAAACGTGATCCTAGTCATCATCTTTAGTGTCCTCTTTATTCCCCTCCTCGTTCTCAGCATCACCCCTTGTCGTCATCTTTCGTCCCCTGTCCTGCCTTCCTTCCTCCTTCTCCTGTCCCCCTCTTCTCCGCTGGGGTCCCCGTCCCCCGCTACGTCGCCCTCCATCTGTTATTCACCCTCATCCTCGTCCTCGTCGTCGTCCTCATCTGCGCAGGTCTCCAGGGTCGCTGACCTCTTTCCGTTCGGAGATCAAGATCGCCAAGTTCAAGATCGAGGGCTTCCCGGGCGAGAAGCACGCGGTTTTCTTTCCTGACCACCTTCGGTTGATGAGGCCTCCTCCCATTCGATGGGAAGGGGTAGGCGGAGGAGGAGGAGGCAGGAGGAGGAGGAGTGAGGAGGCGGGGGCGGAGGAGGAAGAGGAGGAGGAGGAGGAGCAGGGAGTAGGGAGGAGTCGGAGGAGTCGGAGAAGGAGGAGGAGAAGGAGGAGGAGGCGGCGATTTAAGGGCTTTCTTGGGGCTCTGGTGGTGTATGGGGCTCTCTGGGGGCTCCAGCCGCATCTTCTCTCGCACTGTGTTATTTTAGTATAGCAGCTGTCTAAGAGTGGTAATCAAAGCTTAGTTTCAATAGGCACGACATTGGCGTTTTACGATGGTGCTTCCGTTGCAGAGTTTGCTTCGTTTTCGGATCGGCGCTCTGCTCCCGTCGTTCATGATTCCGCTCTCGCCCCAGCGCGGGCCACAATATTGTATGCCGAGTCCTTCCTCGTCGTTGACGCCCCGCTGATTTCCCGCCTCCGCCATCCCCTGTTTCTCCTGCTCCTCCCGCTCCTCGTGCTCCTGTTCCTGCTGCTGCTGCTGCTGTTCCTCCTCGTCCTCCTCCTTCGTCATTATCGTCCTCTTCCTTTTGTTTTCTGCCACACCTTCTCATCCATGTAAACAGATTGCCATTCGGATTGCGCATCACACGATCAGGTCCGCTTGGGGGTTCCATGCCCGGTATGACACTTGTCGGCGGACAGAGAAAAAAGCAGCGCAACAAAAAGTAGCGCAATGGGAAGGAATGGGCGGGAGGTGTATAATGTCAGGCATGGCGCGAGCGCACCTTAACTCAGCTTGCCCTGCTCCCCCTTCCTCCTCTGCCCCTTCCAGCCACAGCTCGGCACCTGGGACGGTCCTCTCTCTCATGCCCCCCTCTCCCTCTTTTTGTTCAGTTCTGTTTCCATACAACATATGTAAATGGATGTATTGTGAAGGCTTACGGCCTGTGCCGCTGACCCTGTATTCGAGGAGGACAGGGCGATGCAACAGGTGGACGAGGAGGGGGGAGACTCTTGGGTATTACATGGCCTCTTGGGGCAATGAGTGCGAGAAAAAGCAGCGCAATGGGAAGGGATGGGCAGGAGGGGGAGGATGTCCTCCTCGTCCTCATCCTTCGTCATCCTCTTCCTCTTCCCCTTGCTCATCCGCCACACCTCCTCATCCAATGTAAATAGCTCCCCTTTGATGGGCTCCGGTACCACGGTATAGATTTGAGCGCTTCGTTCTTTCCAGAGAAAGGTCGGCTTTTAAGATTACGTTGTCGTGCACGGAGCGTGGCTCATATTTACTGATCGGCCGTCATGCGCCCACGGGTCGCCGCACGGGAGAAGAAGAAACATAGTAATAACAACAAGTGGGACATACAAGGTCCGCTTGGGGGGTCCATGCCCGGTATGACATTCGTCGGCGGACAGAGAATAAACAGCGCAATCGGAAGGGATCGGCAGGAGGGGTGTCATGTCAGACATGGCGCGAGCGCACCTTGGCATGCCGTGCTCCCCCTTCCCCCTCTCCCCCCCCTCCGGCCACGTCTCTGCCCTTGGGGCCGTTCTCTCTCTCTCTCTCTCATGCCCTTCTCTTCCTTCTTTTAGAGGTTCAGTTTTCTCTCTCTCTCTCTCTCTCTCCTTCTTGTTTTCTTTCCCTATATCTACACAAACATAGATGTCTCTCTTTATTTGTATGTGTAGTTATGTTGTTGTCTCTGCTGTGTTTTGCCTCTCTGTCTGTCTCTCCCTCTCTCCAACCGCCAGGCATGCTCCCCAGACGTCCTGTAGAACAAAATAACAGCACTGAGGTTTTCCCTCGTTTCCGACCTCGGGGAGCCTTCGCCGGCCCCAGTGCCGTCAAAGCGCGGGCCAGGGTGTAAAGCTGGCCCGTCGGCAAGGGCTGGGACTTCCTTTGGAGTCGGCCTGGAGTCATCCCAGCGAAAGGCCCAATCGCATGCAGGCATGAGCGCCGCAGGGCAAGGGAAAGGAACGAGGAGAAGGAGGGCGGGGCGGGAAGATTTGAAGCCCTTCGTGAATTCCCCTTGCCTCTTTGACAGCCCTTCGTTCCTTTCCCTAGCCCTTTCCCTTCGCGAGGGGAACGAAGGGTGTGGTGAGCGAGCGCCGCAGGGCAGGGGGAAGAAACGAAGGGGAAGGAACGCAGGGAAAGGAGCGAGGGGAAGGGAGGGCGAGGGAAAGGAACGAGGGGAAGGAGCGGCGGAACCCCCTATGCTCACCGCACAGGGGGCGCAAGGCCTTCAGCTGCCCCGGTCCCTCCCTCCTCCCGGGGCGGCGGGCCGCCCGCCGCGCTCGTCCCGCGGCCCGCTCGCTGCTCGCTGCGGGCCCCCCCCGGGGGCCCGGCGTGCAGGGCCCCCGGAGGGGCCTGGCGTGCAGGGCCCCCGGGGTCCGCTGCCCAGGGATACGGGGCAGGAGCGTCAGCCCATGACCCCGTTTTTTTTTTTTCTGCCATCGCACCGTTATGAGGGCTCCTCGAGGAGCCGCACTCGAGTTTTCGGAAGCAAAGAGCAAGCTGGCATTGTCCACCCGGCCTCGCCTTGCGGTGGGCTCGAGGCGCCTTCGCCCTCATGGGGCGGAGACGCCTGTGGCCGAAGCAGGCTTCAAGCAGCAGCCAATCCAAGAATTCGACAGTCGATGTCTTCTGCCTCCTCCTACTCCTCCTTTCGGCCCCCCTCCCCAGCTTCACGCTTCCTGCTTCCGCCGCCTCGCTGCATCGTGTTGCACTCGGCATACCCCTGGACATCCGACGTCGCGTTTGCTTAGGTCGGGCATGTCCTCCTACAGGCGGAAAAATTGAACGAAAAATAAACTGATTCAACCAATATTCTAATTTTTTAAAACATAGTATAAAATCGTTCCCAGGCCATTATCTGAACTATGTTTGGATACTCCTCCTGCAGAGGGGGCATGCCCAACTTAAGCTTAACCAGCGTGGCTCCCGAGAGGTCAGGGCCCCGCCCCCGGGACGGGCTTCTCGTCCTGGGCGGCCTCGGGGCGGTCCTTCAGCCCAGGGGCCATCCCGGGGCCCCCCGGTGGCCGACGACGGCCCAGAGCCTTCCGCCGCGATGTTTTCGCGGCGCGGGGATGCCACCGGCACCGCCCGAGCACACCGGCGCTGGACGTGCGCCGGCCGCGCCGAGGGTGGCGCGCACGCTCGAGAGGCCGATGCTCCGCAGCGGGCGCTCTCTCTGGCCGTGCCGCTCGGGGAACGCTGTGCTACAAGACGTTGTGCTGTGTGCTCGGGTCGGACGAGCGCCCCAGCGTCCCCAACAGAGGAGGAGGAGGAGGAGGAGGAG